CGTCGAGGCTGCGATTCGTTTACAATAATTTATTATTAAACTATTTGCATAAGGACAATGTAATTGCAGTATGTAAGCTATATATTAATTTATATTTATATTATATTATATCTATCTATATCTATACTGTTATAATAAAGCGTAGACACACATTTCTTTGTTGCCTAAGATGTCAGCAATTACAGCATATTTTAGAATAATTCTATTTTTAATAAAAAGCCCTAAATTTACGTCACGCTTTAGGCTATACATTTTCACGCTGTTCAACTTAGGGGATAAATAAATTAGAAAACACCTTCATGTGGGAAAGGGGCTATAAACTAGAGGCTGCCAACATCAAAGAAGCAAAATTGCCGTCGTTGTCATTTGTGCATTTGAATTTGACTTTTGCTATTGATAATTTGACAAATGTAAACAATAAAATAAAGTTTTTATAATTTCATGCGGATGAAGCCTCACGGAAACAGCTAGTTATGTTGTAAATTACTTCTATGTAGAATATTGAATGTCATTGTTTTATTGTGTTTTCGTTTAAATAACTTTTAATCTAATTTAGATTATTAAAAAGGTCATTGATATCAATTGGAGGATTTTTTAAGCATTAAGAAACCGTTGAAATTTTTTAAAGGTAATTTCGTTTGTACACATATTAGTCACACGATAAAAAACGGTGCGTACGCACTATCACATTCTAATAAATGACAAACTCACTTGAGGTCTCAACAAACAAATTAGTCGCATTGAGCCATAAACGTGCGGAGTATAAATAAATTCCCATACCGTATTTACCGTAAACATTTCAATGGATTTCAATAGCTACTTCGTGTGAGCTTAAATCAATTCACAATATAGGGTTGGCAGAAATACTTTAAATCAAGCGTGTAACCACGTCCAGTGCTTAAAATTTGAATAGAAGCAAATTTTTAATTTTATACATTTCGCACATAACCAATAATTGAGGCTTAAGTTTTATACTTTTTCCCTCCTATGTTAAAAAGGTAAACTAAAAAAGAAGAATTATTATTAAATTGGTCACAAAGCTACTGTGCATATAAAAATAACAATGAAAAAAACTTGAAGAAATACAAAGAAACAAACGTAAGAAATTAAAAGTAACTTATTTCTTTTAATTATATATGTTTTGACAACCCTAAGTGGTCAACCATATGTCATCGTAAAATGTCTAAATGAAAACAATATGCCAGCCGTCTGGGAATCACTCCAACCTGTCCATCAATTAACGCGTCGGGAATTAAACAAACAATTTCGTATAAATATGACTCACTACAATTTTATTTCTATCTTTATAAGAGCGCGCAAACCTATGACTAAAATATCGCATAATTGTTTATTCTCCTTTGATTTCTATGAACTTATATGATGCGCACACTACTCGTTAGTTAGTTGTGCAACTAAACAGTTGACGCTGCGAAACAATCGACAATCGCACAACAGTTGGGCGATAGTTTATTCAAAATTCAGCACTCGCTTTAAGTGCGTCATTCTTGTCAGACAGTCGCTGATTTCTATAGTAATATATATTTGTTTTTCAAATTT